CTTTACATAATAAAAAACAAAAGGGTTCAAAATGGTACATGCAGTTGAATATGGTCAAATCGAAAGACAAGCCACTGTTGGAAACATTCAATATCGTTTTCTCTTGAGTTTGGTCGAAGGCTGGATCTGTAGGGCCAAAACGAAAGACAGGGTATTCGATCCAAAGGTCAATTTGTCCATAGAACAAGCTACATAGGCCTCCAACTTGTGCCTCACTCCATATTAAATTGTTCTTCAAGCCAACTTGCTCTTGATGACATCACAACCTTTTTAGAAAGTTTTTGAGCCTTGCGCCTGTCTCTTCTGCACATTTGCCCCCTATGAACTAGGAGCCACCCTTCTAAACCATTGATTTTGTTACTTGTATCTTGGGATTATGAAAAGTTGACACAAGTGGATGCTAGCCTTTCAAAGAAACTATATTTTATTCTTTCACCAAGCTGCACATTTCATTTTTTTCTCTATAAATAGAGAATTCATTTGCACATTAAAGGAAAGGATCTTTAGACCAGGGGAACGAATCTCCAAACTTTCTCAAACAAAACAAAAACTCTCAAGTCCTTAAACACTTGTGAAGAAAAACCCAGAATCATTGTCACCTCCTTCGATTCTGAAGAACAAGCACACTCCAGTCTCTTTAGAACCCAGTGGAAAGAAGCATCACACTTGCTTCCTTTCCACCTTCGTATCCAGCATCCCAGGCTTTTTTTCAGGCCCCCTCTTTCAAATCCAGCACCCATGGCCTCCACTCAAGGCCCCACACCCATTCAAGGTTAAAGCAAGGTAAGTTACTCTTACACTTGAATCCTTCGTTCAATCATAGCATGTATATAATATTTTGCCTCCCTTTCGTTTACACCCTTTGAATCTATTTTTCTGGTTAATCTTTTTGTTCCTTGTTGCTTGAGTTCATTAAATATACTTTAATATTTAGTTTGGCCACAAGACAAAGGTTAACATGGCCTTAGGCCATATGGCCATTTTATGTCCCAAATGAAAGAGACAGGGGGAAGAAAGATATGAAACAAAGCCTTGGGATTCAATGCTACCTTCCAGGTCCAGCCAGAATGCATGCTCATGCTGACTTCCAACCCCCAAAAAGGCAAAATCAGAAGGCACATTTGCACTAGGTCCAACCAGGATCGAAGGCCATGACTTGTTGTTGTCAGCCTCAATCGAAGAAGGAAACAAAGCAACAGGGTAGAACCAGAAGGCACGCCCAGCTGCCTCCAGGCCCCAAACGAAAGACACAACATGTTGGCCTCCAGGCCCCAATAGAAAGTCATGCCTTCACCCCTTTTCATGCCAGATCAAAGAGAGCCAGAAATGGCAAAATTGAAGGGTTTGCTGCCCTAAATCGAAAAATCCATTTTTCTTGCTTTTACTTTATTTTTGCCTTTATATTTTCATGCAATTCAATATGGTTGTAATAGTGTAAGATTTATTTTTTGCATTCTTTTATTACTTTTATATAAATGTTAGTAATTAGGTGTGTATGGAAAGGTAAAATAAACAAATAGACAACCCAAAAATCAAAGATAAAATGCATGCAATCAAACACATTTGTACACATGCACCCTTAGGGTAATTCCACTTGTTTCCTTATAAAAAATGGTCATGTTATGCATGTGGGATATCTTAGCAAAAACAATCACAAATACAAGATCATAGTCCCTTGATGACACTACGAATGTTGCCTTACAAATAATCTTAGTCCCTCAAAGAGAAATGCTAAGATGTCTCACAACATTGCTATCGTGAGTATACGATGATCCGGGCCCGTACCTTTACATCTAACGATAAGGCTTCTTACCAAGTCAATGGTAAGATAGCAATATCAAAGTAAAGGAAGAAATGAACTAAGACTTTTGAGTAGGTAGATTGTTCCTAGTTGCTTGCTCATTTTCAAATCAAACACTCTTGCTTATTTTCAAAACAAACACCAACACTTTCAAAACCTTTTTTTCCAAGCATGAAATATTTTCAAAAGCTCAACACTTTGTATACGTTCTTACGAATAAGAACTATTACAAAGTTTTCCTAAAACGATGGCGCATTTTCAAAATACTTTCAAAAAACCACAAAACACATCTTCAAACAAAAGCAAGTGATCTAGCAAGCAACTAAGAGCCCATAGATAACTATAGATAAAAAGCGTGTTAATACCTTCCCTTTTTATAATCTACCCCCCGAACTCAGAAATAATCTCAAAGGTCTTTCCTGTTCTTTTCAGCCTTTCCTTATTGGATAAAAGAAAAGTCGATGGCGACTCTTGCTAACCGTAATATTTACGATAAAACGCAAAACACCCAATTCAGTTCTCCCAACGTATCACACTATTTATAACCTTTTCAAACATGTTCTAGATGCATTCTAAGAAACTTAATGTAAGGGTTCATACAATGATACAGAGATACGGTTCAATATACAAAAAAGATAAATCTATCTTAGTTTTGACATTATACAAAACATCTATCTAAGAGGCAATTGTATTTACATACTCCCCCTTTTTATGATGACAAAACTTTAAAACTTATGGTGATTCTTTTTGTGTCTTCATGAAGGCTCCCCATGAATATGTGCATCCATCTTCCCTTATGCTTCTCCCCCTTTAGAAACATCAAAAATAGACAAAAACACGCCATGAGAAGTATCATTATTCACACAAAGATGAATATATCACACTAAGGCATTTTGCAAAAATAAGAACGTACACTCACATATACTCATATAAATGGAGTGACGCAAAAATTAACTATAAATAACAGACATTACACATAACCATAAGAACAAAAACAAATGCATGAAAGATGATAGAAGTAATGCATTAGAAAACTCTTGACTCACTTCAAAAACGTCACAATTACATAACACTTCATATTGGTGCTCCCTATGCTGCACATGCATGTTCCTAGCTTGGCAAAAAATAAATCACCACTAAAACTAAAACCAAAGATGCTATCATAAAATGATACATGACTTGATCAAGAATTTCATATGCACTAAACAATGCTCAAATTACATGAATTGCAAGAAATAATAATAGAAAACATGCTTGTACACCAACACCATATAATTAAAATGAGAAAGAATCAATAGCATGAAGTCACTATAAGCATATAAATTGACACATAATATAGTTATCAATTAAAATTTTTGGAAGTGAATTTTCATGAAATATATCATATATTGAATATATCAAGCATTTGGAACATAAACAACATTGCATTAAGGAAAATGCTTTTTTTCAAGGAGAAAAGGAACAAAATTACTTCATAGATGAATGGAACGGAGGATGCACTTGCATATTATGAAACTCTCAAATTAAATTTAGAGCTATATATATATATATATATATATATATATATATATATATATATATATATATATATATATATATATATATATATATATATATATATATATATATATATATATATATATATATATATATATATATATATATATATATATATATAGTGCATGCAAGATGCAAAAAATATATTTTGGAGACATTTGAGATATCAAGAATCTCAAATTCCCTTCGAATATTGAAAAATGGTTCAGTTACAAGAGGTTTTGTAAAGATATCCGCAAGTTGATTTCTACTATCAACATGCTCAAATATAACATTTCCCCTTTTTCAACATGGTCACGTAGGAAATGGTGACGAATCTTAATGAGCTTAGTGCAAGAATGTAACACTGGATTTTCGGTTAGGTTAATCGCATTAGTGTTGTCGTACATGATGGGAATATGAGAAAGTTTAATATCGAAGTTAAGTAATTGTTGTTTAAGCAACAAAATTTGGGCACAACAACAACCAGTTGCGATGTATTCCACCTCGGCCATTGACAAAGTCATGCAAACTTGTTTCTTGCTATGTCAACTTGTCATACCCCACGCTTGTCCGCCCTTTATTTCTACAGTCAAAAATATTTTCAACATTGGTTTTTATAATATTCTTTGGTTCAATTTTACTGACATTTTAACAATAATTTACTTCACTCATTTAAGAATGTATAATAGTTTGTTTTAAATTATTTGTACTTTAAATATCAAATACTTGTTCACTTTCAATTGGGCTTTTATTTTAAATGAGTAACATAGCACAATTGGAAAGGAAGGAAGTTTGCAAGTTTGAGGTCGTGAGTTCGAATCTCTTGTGTTTGCACTATTAACATTTTTTTTTCTTCTATTTTTTTGTTACTAATTTTATTTCCTCTTTTAGAGATAAGACTTTGGACTTCTCTTGTTTTTGGATAACTTACTTTCTAAGTTTTTTTAACCTAATTCTAAGTCTATAAGGAGGACTATTGTCCATCATGATTGGCATCCACAAACTTCCAATTAGACACACACACACACATTTATTTTGATTTATTCTAAGATTTATCTTGAACATGTGTAACCCTGTTGTTATCTTTAACAACAATGACCAACCAATAACCATAATTTCTTCAATTCACAACTCACACTTTTTTCAAATCTTTTAAATTTTCTACGAATATTGGCCGATGATTGCACATGAGGCCTCTATTTAATTTCAATTTGTTAATTTCAATTTGTGTTTTTTTTCAATTTGTTTTGTTTTTTAACCCTATGATGGAAAGTTTATGGTTGTTGTAGGTTTTTTTATAAAAACTATGAAATAAATTCATTCATTAAATATTAGCAATTTTTACACCTTGTAAATGACACTTACAAACATAAATCAAATTTCAAACATTTTCATACACATCACTTATTTTACTATTTTTACTACCATGTGTAAATCCGTTCAAACTTCTTATCAAGAAAAACCTGTGCTAATTTCCACATTACAAACACTAACTTCCTAGCCGAACAAAACCTCTGTTTGCACTATTGTACATATTATCAAAATTTAAACTATCAACAATTTCCCATATCACGCCAATCACACTCACAGACACGTCGTCGTCTTTCGAGTACTGTAACTCAAACCGCTGCGTCTCCCTCTGACGGCACACACTTCCTCCATGAAGCTTTTCCGGACGTCAACACCGCCATGGGCATCTCTCAGCCTCCGTGCATGCCCCAGCCGACCACTCCACAGTTGTCGGTCTTCAAGTCTTCCGTCCCGCCTGGCCGCGCCGACTGTCCATACGCCACCGCGTTGCCAACTTTCGGATCTGTCAAAAAAGGCAGGAATTGAATCGTTAACAAATATAGAAATAAAAGATTGGTGTTTTTGTTTCCTTCTGGTACTGACTTGTTAATATGGTTATGTTTCTTAATTATTTTTTGTTTTCCCATGCCACGTGTCAGTATCTTATTGGTGAATGGATTAAATTAAAAATATCAAAATTGTTTTGTTATAATTATTATGTTTCTAATGTTGAATACAGCCTGGGAATCCCAAAGGGCCACGCACTACTGTAAGTGATTTTTTTGTTTTTTAATTTATCTTTATTATTTGCTTTTATTTTGTCTAAATAATTAGCATGATTAATAAATTATGAATATAGATATAATTGGACCTAGGGTCATATGTCTCATATTTTTTCTAAGTTTATCCTTTCACTTGCCATACCTCTATATTTGATTACTATGTTGTAAAACGCACTCCTCAGCCAACTTAGACTCAAAATATCTTTGGCTTCAGATTTTTTTTTAATACACCACATAGTCTTAATTTTACACCCATGTGCTTAAATGGGTCAAGTTCAATTTCTGAACTTGGTCCCTTAATATCCTCACCCCGCTCTGTGTCCTACCATACTCTTTATCAATGAAACACTTAAAATAGCTAACCAACAATCAAACCATTTTTCTACTAACATAATAAAATCCAAGATATTTTTGAAAAATGATTAAATAGAATTACTTTCAAAATTAACTCCCAAATGTGTCTACGATCACTTAACTTACAACCCATACAAGGTTTAAGGATAATTCGAAATCAATTATATGCAATCCTATAAAAAACACCAACTAACACTATGAACTATGTATTGGGGCTATGATTCCTCATAAGAGGATACGTAGGCATACATCTTAAAATCCTTGGCGAGTCCCCTAATTAAAAAATTAAAACCATATTTCTAAAACTTTAACCTAAACTCTAGTATCCTTGTGAACAAGGTAGATGAAGGGTGTCTAACACCTTCCCTTCGTCTAAAGCGAGTCAAGAATCTAGAATCTCTGTATCGACTTTAGGGTTATTCCGTTATATTCTCGTCTTAGGATAAAAATTAATGGTGGTGACTCTATATTTTTTCCGGTTATTACAGGTAGCGACTCTGGCGGGGAAACACAACCCTAGTGTTTTAAAGTCTTTCCCTCTTTTTACGTCTAGAGTCTTTTCTAAGGTTTCTTTTCTATTTTTGGTATGCTATCGTTTCTATATTAGTCATTTTTGGTTTATTTATTTATTTATATTATTTGTTTATATTATCTTTATTATAATTTTATTTTATTGTTGGTGGGATTTAAAATTCTAAATTATTCGAAACCTTAGAAAGAAGGTTCGTCTATTGGCCAAGGGGATATATCATTCCTATGAGTTTTTGTGACGACTTCGCCTAGAGTAAGTGGAGTTCTAAAAAAGGAATATGTATCAAGAGGTATCCTCTCGGGGGATAGGACTTTGGAATGAAACATATAATTCTTTGTATAACCCTAAACCAAAATCTCGTGGTGAGACCTTGTATGACCTTAGAGACGAAAGTTTCGGTCTAGAATGAGGCTCCACTTAAGGGAGTCCCTTGTGCCTTTCCCTCTAGTGTTATCTATGATACCCCTAAGGAAGCCACCTTATGGGGAGGGTAGAATATTCATAGGCTGAAACTAGGAACCTACGTACTAAGGAAACTATTGTCATCCCATCCTTCATAGAAAGCCTTCCCGTGAGGCACATTCTACTGTAATTTTAAACCTACGTGGGGTTAGTTCTTATCATTATTATACCCTAAACTCGTAGGGGTATTATTTGGTTTAACTCGTAGGGTTTTCTATTTATTCATAATCCATATCATGTATGGATCCTCTTTTGTTCGTCATTATCCTTAGAACCTTTATAGGATCTTGTTCCCCATATGGAACCTTCCCACGAAGGACGTCCTCATTTATACATGCCGCGTGGCCTATATCAGGCCATGGGATTTGGCGACCGTTGACCAGTCACCATATGATCTCTTCCACATTATTCCCTCAAGTCCAATCTTTGTCTCAACTATCAATTGGTCTATCACAATTCCTAGCCTGTAGAAATTCTCATCCCTCTGTTACAATCCCTAGCTTGTAGGGATTCCTCTTCATCTTTCATTGTCCATAATCCTTAAGGAGTTCCTATCTATCTAAATCTTTGATTCATTGTATGGTATCCTCATTTCCATGTCTATCATTAAACCCGTATATGGTACCCATATGTTTACCTTCATACTACGTCTGCGCCGCATCGCATATCCATGAAACTTTTTACATACCCTTAAAGCCAAAAAAATTTTTGCGTACCATACATTCATACATACAAATTTCCATCTTTGCCCTTGTCCAACTATTATCCAGCTAATAGATTTCCCCATACTCAAAGAAAAAATTTCAAGCATGCTTCAAGAAAGTTTGGCGGAACTCAACAAATTCATAAGTTGTTGAAGGAGAAAGTCAACAAGTGAGCTTAGTCCTACAAATCTTGTTAAGGAGAGAATGAAACCCTTTGTCATACAATTCAAAGGCCTACGACGCCTCAAATTCAACTATCATTGGTGACTCCTCCACATCAAGAGCAACTTCTATATCGGCAGAATATATATGCCCAAGAAACGTCAAGGGTCACCCTCATTCTCTGATAAGTCCAAGAACATCCAGAAGCTCCCCTAAAGTCAAGTAGATCAAACTAAGAAGCTCTTTCATAGGATAATTAGACTTATCAATTTCAATTTGTAATTTCCAAGTTGTTAAGTTGTATTTGGTGTGAATTTGTATCTTTTGACTAGTGGTTCAAATAAAATAATCATGCATGTTTTTGAAATAGATCCATTTGTATTCACTCTTTTATTACTTTCCATAAATAATCAACGACTTTCTATTTTCACTCTTCTTTTCCATTTTCATTTTTAACAAATTTTGAGGGAGAATGATGAAAACTAAATAACTGAATTTTGCTAAATGTATGCTTTCAATGGTAAGACCGAGCTGACGATGTAAGGCATTGTTTCAATTCCTAAATAGTGGAGAAATAAGGAGTTAATCCGTAGTTAACCCCCTCGAGCCAGGAGTTGGAGTTTTTTTATATTTTCTAAAAATAAAAAAAACTTTAATTTTAACTAGGGGCAGGGTAGATTTCAATTAATTCGATGATGCATTCAAATCCCAGGAGAATCGAAACGATATAAGCAAAGGTTCAAGCATATCTCTTTCCCCGATACATCATTGAGGAAACATTCTAAGCAAAGGTTCAAGCACATCTTTTTCCTTGCACATCAACAAAGATTAAGGAAGAAATCAATAAAGACAAAGCTCACGACATCTTCTTCCTCAGAACATCCTTCGAGATCGAGGAAACAATAAAGACGAAGCTTACAATATCAGCATAGGCAGTCACAAATATATCTGACCATGACAGACACCAGCAAGCCTTTTCTCGTCAATCCGATTCAGTTGGTCAAGTCGAGTCTGGATCCAATCATCTTCGTTCAAACCCGCATCCTTCATGATCCTCAAAGAAGGGATCTAGACCTCAATAGGTAGTACAACCTCCATACCATACACCAGAGAATAAGGTGTTTCCCCTGTTGACGTACGTGCTGAGGTGCGATAACCCTGAAGAGCAAATGGTAACATCGCATGCCAGTCTTTGTGTGTCACTGTCATCTTTTGTATGATTTTCTTAATATTCTTGTTAGCAGCCTCCACAACACCATTCATCTTCGGCCGGTAAGGGGAAGAATTATGATGTTGGATCTTGAATTGTTTACAGAGTTCGGTGATCATTGTATTGTTGAGATTTGTACCATTTTCTATGATGATTCTTTATGGAACACCATACCTACAGATCAGGTTATGCTTGATAAACCGCGCCATAACATTCTTGGTAACAGTAGCAAAAGAGGCAGCCTTAACCCACTTCATGAAGTAATCCATGGCCACTAGGATGAAGCGATGTCCATTAGAAGCGGTAGGTCTAACCTCTATGATCATGCCAATGCCTCACATTGCAAAGGGCTAGGGAGCCGTCAAGACATTCAAGGGAAACAGAGGTACATGTACTTTATCGGCATAGATCTGGAATTTATGACAAGTTCGGGAATGCTGATAACAATCTGCTTCCATAGTGGACCAATAGTATCCTTCCCGTAGGATCTTTTTAGCCATGGTATGTCCACTAGAATGGATGCCAAAGGTAACTTCGTGTAGATCTTCCATAATCCTCTCTGCTTCGCTCTTGTCTACACATCGCAGTAAAGTAGAGTCATGGTTACGCTTGTAAAGGACTCCATTACTAAGGAAGAACTTTGCAGAGATCTTCCTCAGAAACTTCTTATCATTGACAGACGCCCCCTCAGGATGTTCTTGAGCCTCGAGATATCTTTTCACTTCATGAAACCAAGGTTTGTCTGCGACTTCTTTAGTGTAAATATCATAGCAATATGATGGTTCATCCAACCTCTCAATAGTGATCCGAGGAGCCTCGTTGTCCCATCTTACCTTGAACATGGATGACATAGTAGCTAGCGCGTCCGCTAACTGATTCTCTTCTCGTGGAAAATGTTCAAAGGTGACTTCTTCAAAGTGTGGAAGTAATGTCAGCACATGTTCTTTGTAAGGGATGAGATTAGGGTGCTTCGTGTCCCACTCCCCTTTGGTTTGACTTATTACCAAGGTTGAATTCCCGAAAATGCTCAAGAACTTGATCCTTAGGTCAATAGCAGCTTTGAGGCCCATGTAACACGCTTCATACTCAGCCATATTATTGGTACAGTTGAAACATAATCTGGAGGTGAAAGGAGTATAATAGCCCTCGGGGGATATGATTACAGCATTGATGCCATTGCCGAGTGCATTGGAGGCTCCATCAAAAACCATGGTCCATTGGGATCCTTCGTCAGGTCCTTCATCCAGTCCAGGTTCTTCACAGTCATTCACTAACATAATATTCTCATTCGGGAATTCAAAGTTCATGGATTGGTAGTCATCCACAGCCTCATGGGCCAAATAATCAGCTAACACACTTCCCTTGACTGCTTTTTAGGTTGTGTATTAGATGTCATATTCGGTCAAGATCATTTGCCATCTCACTATTCTTCCAGGGATAGCGGGCTTCTCAAATATGTACTTGATAGGATCCATCTTAGATATCAATAAAGTAGTGTAAGTCAACATATATTGTCTTAGTAGGAGAGAAGCCCATGCCAAAGCGCAGCAAGTTTTCTCGAGCAGTGAGTATCTTGTTTCACAGTCG